GTGACATTAAAAAGTCTTAAATTTAACTTTCCTTAAGCTGTAGGAACCCTATTCGAGAAATCGCAAGAACTTCTTCGGCTGCGCTGGCGGGAGTGTTTATTTTCCAAAACAACAATGACGCGTCTGGAAGATGTCACGGATATGGATCTAGAGTATCCATTGTTGTTATTGCTGGATTTTTAAAAATGGCGTGCCCCACCATAGATTCGAGAAGGACGACCACACAGATAGCCGGAAAGTTATACCAAGGACCAATCACAGCTGCTTTTTGTCTGCACACTTCCGCTTGAGGTCGGCGCGGTTTTGCGACCGTCCGATATGTAGTCAGGATTTTTTTAAAGACAGATTTGACGGTTGCAGAGGCTATGCGTCAGAAGCATAAATTGGCCTTAAAAGCTCAACCACTTTTTTTTTTTTTGTCTACAGGTACGCAAAGAGAACCAGTGGTGTGAAGAAAAATAAAGCGGCTGATCCTGCCAACACTACCACACTGACAAGGATTGTCCCTGCTTACTGGTTGCACTGGCGTTGTTCATACTTGTTAATATTCTCTGAAAGGATATCAGATTCCACCTTGCTCTCTAGTTCCCTTCATTTCTGTATCCCATTAATAGCATGACCATTTTTAAATCGCCTGTGTGGTGTCAATAAATCAAAGCTAAAACACCTAGTATTGTTTTCACTCACTCCTATTGTCCATCTACATAAAACCCAGTCCTGTTTTTCGTTGGTTTTTGCCCTTAAAGGGATAAAAATAAATCCCTTCCTATCAGATTGTCTTTAGTTGCTCTAGATGTTTTTGTTTTTTTTGTTTGCTTTTTGTTTTTTACTGGAGAATTTACTTTGAGGTTCCTTGATTCAAATAAAGTAAAAAAATTTTGACGACAGAAAAACAAGGGTGAATGTTATTTTGCCTGTACAAATGCATTGTTAGCTTGTTAATTGGGGAAAATGAAGTCAACACCATCACAGCTTTAATCCATAAGGCATTTGTGTATTTAATTTGACTCTCCTAGCTTAGCTGTGATGCTGGTTTTTTTTAAAAGCTGGATAAACACACTGAAGGAGATAATAAAGCCTTTCAAATGGATGTGCTGTGGTCTTTCTGTTGGCCTGTCACCAGTTATATGGAGTGTATATAGGTGATAATATTGAATTCTGTCTAAATAACTCTTGAATTTTTCTCTCTATTCTATTACATAAATTAGGAGCCACAAACAAGATATTTAAAACACTTTTAATAACATCAAACAAAAACAATACATCAGAGGGTTCAAAGCATGAAGGTACAAAGACTTTTTCCAGTTTTTTTTATGCCTATGGCTCCATCTGCTGGAGAAGAATAGTACAAAGGCTCAGCCTATATTTATTCCATCGTTTAAAAGCTGAGTTTGAAGCTGCAAGAAAGCATTAAAATAAAAAATACAAAAATCCCCCCTTTTGCTTGAAATGTAACATTACATGTGAAACATGCACAGAACGAGAACACAAAATATAGTTTGAAGGCTTCTGCAGTAAATACTGGACTGCAAAAAAAAAATGTACACAAAAAGGGACAAAACATTACTTTTTAGAAAAAATTGGAAACTATATTTTTTTAAAGCAATTTACCTTTTTATTCCATAAAAACATACAAAAGTTATTTTTTTTATAATATAAAACTTTACAAGACAATGCAATATAATAGTACCCATTGGTCACAGATTAGTTATGGAGCTGCAGGTAAGAGAAAACAAATCTTAACAAAAAAAAATGACCTATAAAATGACTTGAGATTCTTAGACCAAAAAAAAGTAGTAAAAAAAATGTTTTTTAAGCCAGAGATTGGAAGCCTAAAAGTGCTAAAAGAAGTGACATGGGGGTCTGCTTCACCGCTCTGAAAACAGCAACACATGGCGACGTTGCAGCTTAAAAACATGGTTTTCCCAGGAGATCAGAGATCGAGCTGGACTGCCTACAGCTCTTCTCACGTTTACAGATCAGGTACAGCTATGAGACATAAAAATGGGAAATAATTTACCTGAAAACAAATCGGCTACCTTCATACATGTTGTCCCCTAACTGTTAGGCTAGGCGGTGGTTCTTTAAAATCTCATTTGTTAGTTTATCAGTTGATCTTTTTGAGTAATGAACAAAATGATGTGAATTTACTCTAAAGGGGAACTATCCTGAAAGTTAAAACCACTCTGAATCTCTAGATGTTCGAGGCAAGTCAAGATTACAGGGCCCTGAGGATGTCTTTATACTTAAACTTTTTACACCTTTTGGCACATTACAAATATTATAGTACTTTATTAGGAGTGTTCATGACAATACAAAAGACGAGAAACTATAAGTTTTCTCACCATCCTCAACAACCCAGTGGATCACTTCTGGTTGACAGTTGAGGTATAATTCATTGATGATGGAAGAGTATGGAACAACTGTAAACCTGCCCAGTAATGGCAAACAGCCTAAACAGATCAGAGACCATGGTGGCTCTGGAGGAGCTGCAGAGCTTCATCGTAGGTGAGAGGATGTGATGACAGGGCAATCGTGCCTCTTATCAAAAAGTGATAAGGATAATGCCCTTGTTAAAGGAATGCTTTATAAAGTCCCATTAAAAATGTGCTTCAATTTAAGTTGTGGAGCCAGAAGGACGTGTTCAGATGAGACCAACGTGTTACCTTCTAGTCTACATCCTGAGCATTTATGTGCAGCAGAAAGCAACCGCTGCAGATCACCCTAAAACTACCAGGAATGTTTGCAGAAATATGTGAAGGGAGTGAAAACACACGTAAACATAGTCAGAGCTTCGCTCCGGTGGTTCAAATCAAAGCATTTTCATGTGTTAGAATGGCCTAGTCAAAGTCTAGATTCATGCCATTTGATGGTCACCAGCAAGACTTAATGGATTTTCACAGATGCTCTCCATACGATCTGATGGAGCTGCAGCAGTCTAAGAAGAAATGGATGAAATATCAGCTTTTAGATGCCCACAGAGGTTAGAGACCCATCCTAAAGAACTGTAATGGCAGCAGAACGGAGTTCTACAAGATAAATCTAGGAAAACATGTATCTTTCCTTCCATTTCCTCATCTTGTCGTATGTTGTGTTATTTAATAAAACACTAATAAAGATCACTGAGGGTTGAAACATGAATAAAAGCTCAACAGATTTGAATGTTCTTGTACAGCTGAGTGTATTGTACCTCTGATTGATCCACCTTTAAATACACGTCAAACCTTGATTTAAATCAGAAACGTGTCAAATGCATCATTTTCACCAATCAATCTTATTATTTGACCTGTCTGTTTTGCCTTATCTGTGATATAAAATAGGAATGAGGACTTTTACAGTAACCTGACAGACTGTTAACTGTTAGATGAAGGCAGGTGACCAGAATAAGCGTCATGCCTTTAGAGGAAGCCGAGGAAAGGGGAGCAGTGACGGTGAAGTCAGCGGATCCTCGTGATCAGTGAGTCTCTGTTAGCACTTTAAGGGAAAGTCCTGCCACTTTGGCGGCAGACAGCGCCGTAGAGCAGTGCGTCTGCCTGCCGGACAGTTCCAGGTGCGTGTTCGGGAGGTGTTTGTCCAGCGGGGGCTGCCGGAAGTCCGTCTGCTTACCGGCAGACTGCTCTGATGGGAAGCGAGTGTGCAAGCGCGTGTGTGAGGGGAGGCGAGTAGACGGCGAGACAGGCGGCGGGGAGCAGCCTGGGGAGGGAGCAGGCTGCTGATGGTAGAGGCGGAGGCGTGAGGGAGAAGGGGAGGGGGGAGAGTCTATAGCACTTAGATCTGAAGAAGATGGGCTGGGGCAGCCTCCTCCTTGAAGGTAGCGAATGCACTTCTTTTTCCTCCTAGGAACAGTCAGAGAGAGTTATCTGTGAATAAAGTGTGGATGGGAGACGTCAGCGGGCTTCAGTGAAGGTGCAGCATTCACAATGAGGTCAATGAACATGGAAACAAGCATTCATGAACAAAACATGATGATTTGACAGCAATATTTCTGCTTGAAGGTTTGTTTGAGTTAACATTTTGGTAGAAGTCCAGCTTTACAACAGTAGAGTACAGAAAAATATAGAAAAAATGTTTTAATTACACAGACACTTAAAATACGTCCTTCAGCAGATTGTTTGAATCTAATGGGGACTTTATGTGATACACTAAAACAAGGCCAAAAGAACAAAGGCACATTATAAATACATATTTTTGATATAAAGACTTTTCTTCCACTGTCTTAGTTTCTGTGCTTCTTCTTTGTAAAAAATTTAAATCTTAATAGTCTTTTGTTTGTAAGATTCTTAAGATTTTGTCATAAATTAAGGGAGTAGGTGAGATTCTTTGCCAAAGGAAAAAGGCAATTTACATTTAAAACTTGAAAAAACAATTACATTGTCCTATTTCAAGTGTATATTATCTGATTATATATTATATTTAAGATTAAACATACTGTTTCCATTGGCAAATCATCTCATTTACCTTCTCAGATTCAAGTAAATACACTTAATTCAAGAAATTCTAGATCATTTTTGTAGTGTGCGTCTAAAACGCACAAAGGAGCATTATCACAGATCCTTCCTCCCAGCAGCTGACAGCTTTTATAACCATCGCTGCTCCCAAAAAACACTCTAAGGCAGGCATCCCCAAAGTCGGTCCTCGAGGGCCGCTGTCCTGCAGGTTTTGGAGGTTTCTCTGCTTTAGCACAGCTGATTATGACGACTGAAGTTGAGCAACAGCCTGTCAATCAGCTTTCAATTAAAATCAGCTGTGCTGGAGCAAGGAAACCTCTAAAACCTGCAGGACAGCAACCCTCGAGGACCGACGTTGGAGATGCCTGCTCTAAGGGAAAAACCAGGGTTGAGAATAAAGTTGGACTGTCAATAAAAAAAGAAGCTGAAAACAATTTTACGAATAAAGTTGACAATAACATCGATGGACATGAATGATGGCATATATTAGCTTGATCTTTTGGCGATGTTAATAAGCCTACAGCCTCTGAAAGGGAGCCTTTTTTTTTAGCAGTTCCACTTTATTCTCCACCTTTCAGTTGCACCAACATGGTACATTAGCAGCCATTCATAACGGGCCTTATCAGTCAAACCCCAGGCGAATGGCAGCCCACTTCCCTGCAGCTCCAAGAAAAATCCCCTCCAAATTCCAGCCCCTGACCTTCTCCTTGGTGTGCATATTTTTTCTACTCTGACTCAACCCTTTCAGTGAATTATAGGGTCTGAACAGGAGATAACGCTTCTCTTTAGATCTTAATGTCCACAAATCATGACAGAAAGAATATTTTCGTACAAAGATTGAAGTTTAAAAAGGAATTGTAGGGGACCAGCCAAGGGCCCATCAAGGAAAATTGGGGAATTTTGAATGGCTACTACTGTAGAAGGATAAAAAAGCCTTCCCCCATTTTATTTTTCCTCACTGTGGCCCTCACTACGTCATAGAATGCTTCCAACTTCATCATGATCAATAATTATTACATTTAACAGGTTTTTTGTTGTATCTTAGAAACACAATCAGGATGGATTTAGTTCAGAAAGTCTAGGTGGTGATCTAGGAGCAGTATCTAAAAAGCGGCACTACTTTAGTTATCACTGATTAGTGTAATACAGATAGTGTTTTCCTGCCATCAGCTAAACATGTATGAACTAACAGAGACCTGCCGTGCTCTCTGAGATGCTTTGCTTTAAAGGAGAGCTGCATACCACGGCGTGCAGCATCAAAGCTGCTAACAGGATCCCATGATCATTACCAGAATATGATATGAGTCACCAGGCCTGACCGCAAGGAGAGGTGCTGGGCCAAATTTAGACAGACAGAGGGAGAGAAAGAGAGGAACTCTGCAATAGAAAGTGATTTCTAAATGTCAGAGTTCACCATCAAAAGCTGCTTGTCACCACATCGCAGGAGTGGAGAAAGTTGAAAGCAGATGGGCATGAGAAAGCTGTCGCGATGCAACGCTGCAGGGAGAGTGTGAAGCTGTGGTGATAAGGATTTGCTCAAAACCACATTCAGCCCCCTTTGTTCTCTCAAACCGAAACACACACTCAGATTTCCATGACGTGATAGCGGGGAAGACGGCGGGGCTGCTACAGTGCAGCAGTGGTGGAGGCAAGCTTTTCATGTCAGAACCGCACAAGACTCCCCGAATCCTGCATCCAATCCGTGGACCGCGGTGGAATACTCTACGGCCCGATGCGACTAAAACGAAGCTAAGCTGAAAAACCTCCTGCGTGTCGGGTTGTTGCAGATGCTTCTGTTTGCATCAGAGCGACAAAGTGGGACGTTTGCCTGTTGCCCACTTGTGGCGAAACGTCCAGAGGAGGAGGCGGCTCTTCATGTGACATACAGGAGCTGCTGCACTAGAAATGTGCACGACTCTAATCCAACAACCTTCACTTCAATCTAATACCAAACTATATAGAGTAATGAACTAATGTCCAAATAAAATATAAAAGGAGAACAAATATTGGAATTTAAGATGGAAAACTATGAAAATAAATAGAAAGAATCAGTTACGGATCTAATTCTAAGCACCTACATTGTTTAGCATCCCAGGTTTCTGACCCTCAACAATCTATTCTTTCTAACTAATAATCTGATAGACAGAAGAGCAAATTAAAGGATCTTGTTTAGTTTAGCAACCTGCAGCACATGGTTTCTCAGCTGTTACATGAGAGCTGCATTTTTTCATCCTAAAAGATGAAACTCCAACATCCGATCCGTCAAACAATCCAATAACAATCCTGACTTCATCTTAAAAACACAGCAGATATGGGACATTAAAATGGGACATTTCTAACAGGAATTCATTCGTTTCTAATATAACTGTAATGTTTTAACATCACTTCTTCAAACTCAACTCTTAAAATGCTAATTTTACTCTCATTTGACCCGTTTTGTGTGAATTGTATGATTTCTCTCCCCCCTGATTTAGGTTTCTTATTTTCATTTATTTTTTTGCTTTTAAAAACGTAGATCCCTTTGTCCTGTGAGCTGTTTTGAAGTTTACCGTATTAAACCGTATTAAAACCGTATTTGGGCAGCAATCTCTGACAGCTCTCACAATGGACTCCTAAACCACATTAAGGACCCTTTTATAGAAAAGGTGTCTGATTATACAATTTTTGTAAAAGAAAAAAAAAGGTAAATACTAATCTGAACCTATATCAGCTGTAATAATATTTATTCTCAATGTTAAAGATTATTTGGTCATGCCTTTTTGTTGTGAACAGCAGGTTAGTGACAGACAACATGCAGAGACAGAGCTGCCTTTAAAGGAGGTTTGTGTCATCTATGTGTGTCATCAGCACGTTTTGTCTTGCTGCAAAAGAGCATCAAGGTTCTTCTTTTCAATTCAATTAAAAACTGTATAAAAACAAAAAAACTCCTTCCATTTAAGGAAAAAGGTGGGAATCATCTCAAATCCTAATATTATTCATAAGTTCAAATTAGAACAGCTAATCAGAGACAGATGATAACCACCTCCAGGACAGCTCTGTCCTCTTAGACAATCAGACTACTGTGATGCACATTAGAAGATGATTAAATGGGAGATGAATCTGGGACGTTCTATGGGGGAGCAGCATCCCGGCTGGATGGAAGTGGATGAATGTCGGGTACACACCTGCAAGGACCACACCAGTCCGTTTGTTGGTTGAGGCCGAAGCGAGCTCGGCATTTCTTAGGAGAGCCCGGGTCTGAGCGCACAATGCAAAACATGCACAAAAAAATAAAAAGAGGAGGGAAGCAAAAAGAAAAAAACACATATATAAAAAAAACGGATGAAGCAAAAACAAAGTGGGGGAAAATTAGAGATTGACAGGGGAAAAAAAGAAGGAAGAGGTAAATAAATTTGTCATGACAGGAAAAAAAGCACCTTGGAAAAAAAAAAAAGCCAAAACTGTTAGTAGCACAATGTGACTGACAAACAGCAAAGTCACCAAGAGACACAGATGCAGCTCTGTTAATGTCACTCAGAGAAAAGGCTCCGAGCAAACACTGTGAGAAAGGCAGCTGTGCTGAAGCTGTTAGAGCGAAATGCAAAGAAACAAACCAGCCTGAGCCGACATGTTGCAACGAACGTTCTCTCATTAAATAATTTTAGTCACGTTATTTATATGGACAAGAATAAAACTAATGCAGAACAGTAAGGACTTAACATCCGCACTCTGGGATTAAAAGCTCTCTAATTCAGGTTGTATGGAAAGCAGAGTGGGTGAGTGGTTTGACGTTAGACACACATCCTGCTGCAGTGCAGCAGCTCAGAGCGCCAACGCATGTTTAAGTTTCTCCCCATCCTCTGACAGCTGGGACTTGTTACCCTGGTCATTTGTCTGCAAAGTGTATATGAAGATGCTTACCTGTATTGGAGTCCTGCTGCTTCTCCCTTTTTCTCCTCTTCTTCTTGCCCTGTGGGAGAAACACAAAAAAATGCCCCAAATATATCAAGTTAATTTTGTTTATTTATCACCTTATTTATTAATACAAGCTACAGTGGAATGTAATTCTCCCTGAATATAAAAGTAAACTAATGCTAAAGTATGAAGTATTAATAAATTGTTTTTCAGGTTTTATATTTGAGTGAAGTTGCCCACCGTCATGTTCTCCAAATGTCATAAACATCCCCCACCTCCAACCAAAAATGGTTTCATTTACTTGTGCGACTGTCATATTGAATATATAAGAGCACAGAGAGTTTACAGCCTTTAAATATCGGTGACATAAGAAAACATGACCAGATTTTTTAAAACAATTTTTGTCCATCTTGAATACCTTGAGTAGGCAACTTCACCCAGGTACCTGACACAGATCATTATAAAAAAAAAAAGAAAAAAACAAGGCATTAAAATGAAAACAGGTTTAAGTTCAAACATGGCTAAAGTGACCAAAAACCCATTAAATGGTGCAGATAATTCAAACTACAAACAATTGGATATTATTTTTACTTTGTCCAAAACGTCAATGTTTTTAGTGGGGTTTCCTGTGAAAGACCAACACAACGTAGAAGAAAAGTGGTAAATAAAATTCCCCAATTTATTGGAAAAAATATATAAATTCCCAAAAACATATCAGTGGTTGAGAGCTGCCCGATAGAAGGAACGCTGTAAAAATCATGATTATGGCAATTTCACTATCTAATGTGTGGTTCCTTTCTTTTTCCTTTGCAAACAAAAAACCCTAAACACTAAATAGGTAAAAGAAAAATAAATATAAATAACATAAATTTCTTTAAAAAAAACATTGCCCTATGATTAAAATAAATACTTTAGGTACAAGGCTGCTTTTAACAACAAGCATGAAAACACGTTACTAGCATGCAGACCATAATTGCAATTGAAATTGGAGATATTTATAGCCTATTAGCAGCTCTGAACAATATTATTCCGCCATACTGGTTCATAAATATATGTTCAGCACAGCCTGATTTATCAGCTTTATTCATGCTTTTTCTGTTTGAAAAACAATGAAAATTCCCTCCTTTCCCCTTTGCAAAATAACTCAAGCTCAGTTAGGTAGGATGGAGAGTTTCCATGAAAAACTGTTTCATAAGCATGATCACAGATTCCTTGATTTAATGCATTAATATGCAGGTGAAAATAAAACATGTTACTCTCATCTGCCCAAATAATCTCCTTCAATATGTCTGCTGTTTCTCCTCCATGAACAGATGGACTCTCTTTGTTTTCTATTAGAGTGTCATCTGAAGATGGGAGTGAAGTTAAAATGTGCTGGAAATTAAAATGCTCCATGTGCTTTTAATAAAATAATAAAAAAGACATTTTATTTTCACAATTTTACACCACTTTGTGTCGGTCTGTCACGTAAACGAGACAAATTCTGAGGAGTATTAGTGCGTTTGCAAGGCAGAGGATGAAAAGCTAAACTTTCTGAGATGTCGCTCAATTTTTTTTTTCAAGCACAAATAAAATACTCAAACACAAAACATTTAAATAAAAAATAGTCCAACCTGCAACCAGATCAGTCTGTGCTCTGAAGAAGCAAAACTAAAGCAAGAAAGAGAAGAGATTCTACTGCACCGCTTCAGAAACTCTAAGATTCATGCAAAACCTTTTATTTCTGCAGGTGTTAAAAAAGCAGAGATCTTCTAAAATCAGCCTCAAAGCTACTTATTTATTTTTTTCATTTCAGATCACTTAGAAACAAACAAAGAAAAAAGAAAAAACTTGATATTTCTGTCCATGTCTCTGTGTCTACAGGCCCAGCCTAGCTAGTGTGTATTAATAACTGCTGAGGTAAACATCAGAGCTCTTCACACAGATCTGCAGATGATGAATCGAGGCCTCGTATTTGAGTGAGATGAAGGATGTGGGTAAAGGAATCTACCGCCTACACTCCGACGTCTGCCCTCCACGCCTCGCTCTTAGCATCGTCTGTGTGGTTTACAACAGTTCATCTTGCAAATAAAGCTCCTCTTGTCTGTGGGCGTGTGTGCATTCAGCAGCGTGTATGGAGGTTTTTTTTTTTTTTTTTTGCAGGAGAAACCCTCTACACGTGTGGGGTGAGATGTGGAGCTTCTCTTCCTGTTCTGCTTGCAGGGCCAGTGACCAAAGGAGGTGTGACATGAGAGGTGGGGGGGGTTCTCCACATACATCAAAATATACTTCAGTCCCAGACATTATATATCTGAGCTAAAGTTTGGTAATAATCCAACACATGTAGTCTACCAGCAGCACATTTTTTTAGGTTCTGCTGAGAGGATTTTTGACTCTAAGTGTTTAAATATATATATATATATATATATATATATTTTTAAGTCAGCCCCTTAATTTATTAAATCTTTTTTTGTAGGCCGACAGTCTTTTATGTCATCTGTAAATGTGGCCCTTTACGGTTATTTTTCTCTCCCCTGCTGGAGCCTTTAGGGGGAATTTAAATGTTACTGTGTGTTAAACAGGCAAACATTTAACAATAGCCTAAAACTTCTCAACTGACTACATAATAAGAAATGAGCTATTAATATTTCTGCACCTCTGAACACATATCTGTTTGTCTTCAGCTTGTAAAACTCTTAGCGGGAACAATAATAAAACCCTTTTTACTCAGTTTTCTGTGTTTTGTGCTTCAATACTAAAGGAGTTAATGATGTATGAAGCGCACAAAAATGAGATAAGACCCAACGGTGCTAAAAGAGAAAGATAAACTAAAAGATCTCTGTGACGCCTGGATATTTATCATAAGAGTAAAAAAAACAACAAATTTCTTTACAATAAATAGCAAGTTGAGTACATAGAACAACTTTGAGCTATTGACTTATAAGATCTGTTCACACTTAGCACTAGGGGGAGCTAAGAACAAGGTATAAATGTTTAAAGCATTTAAAAACTGCAGAGCAGTGGAAAACTTTGAAGACAAGAAAACAGATTCTTTTAAGACAGCTTTCATTGGCTTTGAACAACAATAGGCTCTAAGAGGCATTGTTTGAATTTTAGGCAACCCTTGCAATGCCTGTGCAGATTCTTGGTCATGTGGGTCAGCGCAGTTTTATCAGGGATTCAGGCGACCGGTTAAACAGCTCATACCAGAAAACAGACTATAAAGTACCAGTGGAGGGACAGGCGGGCCGTTCGTTTGTAACTTTTTGCTATTTTTAGAGCCTTTAGAAAAGATAAAGACTCTGCGATAAATGTCGAAACATAGAGAAAAGGTTCATTTGCCTTCAATTTAAGCCTGTTATAGTTAGCATATTTCCTCGGTAAGTAGCTGATTGTTTTTTCTTTTGTTTTTGGTATTTTTGTGGAACAGAAGGTCACCTAATGTAAGTTACGGGACTCAATCCAGGCTACAGTTTTCTTTTTATTTAAGTTTAAGTCAGGAAAAGATTTTCCAACTGAAAAGTTTAACTGAATTCAGCAGAAAAGATAAAGATTTCCTGATATCTTTATAGGGTGATTTATAAAAAGCAAATTTAGCAAAGGTTGACGACTTGCCTAAAACTGTGCATTAGGACAGTAGGACATCAACCAAAGGATGATGCATTGTGTTGTGGACTTAAATTTATTTCCTTCTCATGTTTTCATTGTAATAGTCAGGTCCTGCAGCATGACAGATAATGTGCCAGGAGGCATTCCAGAAAAAAAATAAAATAAAACATGGCAAAAGAGTCTGACTCTTTTGAAAGAAAGTCTAAAAAAATAAGTCAAAATGTGTATTTTCACATTTCAAAAAACAAAACAAAAAGAGACAAAAAAAACTTATAAAGTAATTAACAACTAGAAAGCATTGTTTTCTTTGTTTTAAAAAACATGAAGCGATTCTAGTGAAATGAAACTGAAGAGGATAAATAAACTGATGCAGCGAGGCCAGCCATGCAGCCTGCTCTCTGTTAGTTAAAAAAAGTGGGCTGATTTATACCTCTGTGTAATGGAGAGTTTTAGTAGAACAGAAATAAGAAATAGCAGTTTATAAAGAGCATCCACAGCCGACCAATCAGATGGGCCTGTTGGTGTTCTTCACATGCTGTTTGTGATGCTTCGGGTGGGTGCGTCAATAAAGATTTCTCTGGAAGGTGCATGCAAACTTCGTACAGAAATACCCACAACCCCCTCCCCTCTCATGCAGCTTCTCAAACATATTTTTTTTCTTTCAACCCACACCACAGAGGTATAAATCCATCATTAGATGAGTCCCTACCCAATCAGCTTTACTCTTTTCCCCTGCGACCCCGCTAAGGCCCGCCTCCTGCAAGAGTTCAACAGCAAACTGAGAGGTCAGAGGCACACAGCAGCCCAGGTTTAGTACAACCCCCAAAACATTAAACTTTAAAATAAATAAATAAAAATGCATGCACCACACAGGAGCCTTCTTTGTATCTTTTTTTTTTTTTTTTCAATTTAGGTTTGCAGGCAAAGGCATCAATAAAGTTCAGTGAATAAGATATTTCTTCAAATCAAATACTCAGAGATATTGAGCTGTTCTTGGTGTGCTTTCGCTCCCGTTTTTATTTTCAGAGAATCAAACAGGTCTCTGTTTATCACAGATTTTATACTTCATCACTAAAACTTAAAGACATTTATTGATCTTTAAAACACCTTTTTTCCTTCTTAAAGTTTAAAACATCAAAGAGCTCAAACATTTGTTTTGTTTTTGACTTAAGCAAATTATACTTAAAACTGGAAAAGAAGAGAAAAACAAATGAACTTATAGTTGAAAAAGACACAATGTGAAGAACAAACTGGGAATCTGGCTGTATCTTTTTTAAGTTTAAGTTTGAATAAGATTTCTTTCAAAATAAAATGTGCTTAAAAATAAATGTGCTAAGTTGATTAAATAAAGAATTTAATACCGAATAAGACCTGTTTGAAAAAAAAAAAAAAAAAAAAAACAAAGTGTCAAGGTTTTAAAGTTCAGTTTATAATCTTTGACATATTCTTTGCAAAAATAAAAAAACTATAGGAGGTTCAAAGATTTGCTTGAAACCTAAATCAAACCCAAGTTTAAGAAGCCATTTCTAAAAGTGCATAAAAAGCTAAATGCCCCCCTTCTCCCATTTGAACAACACTGCATTTATCTGCAGGTTTAATCAGCTCAACTAAAAAAATAATCAATTAGCAGAAAAATAAAACAGACGAGTTCTGATTAAGGAAACCACAAATGTAAGCAAAAGCATGATTTCTCTAGAAAAAAAAAAGTATAATTTTAGGATTTCAATTGAAGAATAAAAAGTCTGGAAACTCCAACATTTTATATATATATATATATATATATATATATATATGTATAAAACGTAAACTGAAATATAAACCATGATTTATGTATCTAATTTTTCATTGCTGTTACCACAGCAACCCGACCACAAACCCATTTACAAAATTCATCACTTTGGCTAACAGTTCTCCACAACAAAAAAAAGGAGTTTGTTTTTTTGTCCTCCCTTCTTTTCTTAACAGATCCTTATTTGGAAACTCATTTAGTGCAACTAAAAGCTTTTTGGGGAGGGTGTGTGTGTAAGGGGGAGTAAAGAAGGTTTGCTTACATAGTTGTCCCTAGCAGACCAGGTCGGGTAGAGCTGCATGTGGAGCTGTCTCTCTTTTCGGGCCAGCTCATAGTACTTGGCCTGCTCCTCCCGGGTCAGAGCATGCCACTGAAAACACACACACAAAAAATCAAATAATTCCCAAATAAATTGAAGACTAATCTTATCAGCACTTCAAGCAAAACATTTCTTAGACTTCCAACATACATGGTGCTGAAAATGCTGGAAGAATAAAACAAGAAATGTTTGTATTGATTCTTGGAACTTAGAGTTAAAAAGAAAAGAAATGCATAGATGTTCATAAACCATGCAAAGTGTCTCCCTTGCGGATTTGGACAAATTATGAGAATACATGTTTGCGGTCATGTGTTTTCCTCACCCTTCGTCCCAGAATCTGATTGATAGCGGCACTCTCCTTCAACGTGCACTCGGCGATAACCTTTGCCCTCATTTCCTTCATGTACAGCATGAAGGCGTTCAGAGGCTTCTTGATGACCGGTTTCTTGGGCTCCTTCTCTCGCTTGACCTCCATTTGTGGTTTCCTAAAAAACATTGATACAAACTATGCTGTCAGCAACGATTTAAGCAGAAAAGTAAACGGCATGATTATGATGAAGGAAACATGCGCTAGAGTTGGGGTAACTTACATGTACATGCCTCTGTCGTACTGATCATGCTCCTGTTTGCCTGAAGAGGGTACTATGGCTGGGTGGGGGATCCCTGTAGGATGCACGCCTGATGGCCCGAGCATTAAAGAGTGAGGGAACCTGGGGGGGTTAAAACACGGGGGGGAGACAACAAGAAAGTGTGATGAGCCACTCCAACAGGGGAGCTCGGAGAAAAGCATCGACCGACGGCTGGAAAGCACAGCGAGCGTCAAAAGAGAGGCTAAGCATTTTGCCTGAAAGCAGAAAGAGGTATCCTCTGACATCCAAATTCAATTAAATATCATAAAAAAAGAGCAAATATAAATTTGTTGAGTCTTAACTGGTTAAAGGTGTAGTTTTAAAAAGTTATTTGCTGACTAATTGTTGAAATTTAGGAGGCAACTAACAGCTGACCTGAAGAAAAGAATTTACCAATGTAGACTGACAAAGAAAACTTATATAAAAGTTATTATATATGTCTTCATATATCATTATAATATAATAATTAATATTTTAATGTAATGTAACAAATTAATAAAACATTTTTTTACATGCAATATATTCTGATAATGATAATGCAGCTGAGGCTTCACCGTTAGTCACCACTAGAGGGCGCCAAAGTATTTTCTTTTTAAGAAAGCAGCTAAAGTATGAAAGAAACAGCTTGTTTTACAACCTAGACAGTGAACAAATAATGACATTTATTTTTAAAGTCTTGTGTGAAAGAGCAGCAGATGCTTAAAATAACATAAAGAAAGACACAGAGCAACAACATCTGCAGCGTTAAGCGTCAAGAGCTGGCAGCTTAAGAAGCATGTCAGTAAAAGAAATATAATGAAAAAAAAAACAATAAGCATGTTGTTGGTTTAGATGCTCTGCTGAGAAAAAAATCTGACACTTCACTTCAGGTTCTACTTGGAAATAGTATAAAAAATGAAAAAGAAAATCTACTTTCCAAGCAGATTATGACCGTTGAGAACAAACAGTGGCCTCTTTAAAATAAATATATATATTAGATGAAACCAATGATATGATAAAATGACACATTTTAACTATGGTGCATTTAAATGCCTATTAAAAACTGGATCTTCATGTTTTTTATGCGTATCTGTTTTGTAAGCAACCCTTGATATGCTGCAGAGACCTCCAACAAAATTAATTTTAAATGAGTGAATGGTAACAATAAAGTGTTTAAAGTGGGCACACATAGCGTTCTGTTGTAGCAACTTTGAGGCTAAAGATGAGAGACACAAACATAAACGCAGAGCTTGAAGCAGCAGAGGTGTTCATCATGATACTTCTCATGAAGTTTGAGCAGCGAGAAGCTCGGCTCAGTTTGGCTTGGATAGCTTTGGCGAAAAGCTGAGCTGATCCCATTTACAGCACACCGATTTTATAAAGGATTATAAAAGAACAGATAGAAATGTCCTGCTCAAGGTATTTATTTATTTATTTTTTACTGATGTGCTGTAAACGGGAGCTTGCCGTTGAGCAGCGCAGCTTTCTGAAAACTTTTCCGTTCTAGGCTCGTTTCTCCTGGTTTGCTCCAGCCGGCAGGATGTAGTACCTGGAGTAGGAGGATGCGCTGGGAAGACCGGAGGAGTAGGGCTGCCTGAATCCACAAGGGGACAAGGCAGGGTAGACGGGCTGGCTCTGCCTGCCGTGGCACAGCAGAGGGAGAGATGGGAGCAGGAGGTGGATTTTAGCTTTACAGGTTAACGTTTACTGCTTTTTAAAATCTTTATAAAGCCCATCTAGGCTAACGTTCCCCAACTATTTTAATTAATTCAGGACAGTTAATGGTTTTTATTCTGTGCATGAATAAAGTCTTGAATCGGTTAAAATGGGTGAATAAAAGCTTGACGTTGTGATGCACAATTACTCCTGAAAAGAGCAGAGTGTGGATCCGTGCTGCTGACAGCTATGTGTCAGCGGAGCAGCAGCAACATGAACACCGTGGGAGGTCGAGGGTTGGGGATGTGACGTGAGAAACAGTCTTTGATATGTAGAAAACTGCAATCTCCTGAGTACAACCCCCCCTCAGCTGAGTTATCCCTGGATTTACGCAGACACAAACACACATTTGAATCCACATCCATTATCTGAACCTCCTTTACAATCATTACTATCATCAGACTCTTCCACTTTTCATCTCCTCAGCCCGATCTGCTCCGTAGCACAGGTCAGGTGTTTAAGCCCACTTTCTTCTTTTTCTTTCTAACCAAAATCTAATAAGGAGTCAGGATTTTGCAGCGTCAGGAGCCTAAAAAGGTAACTTATTTTCTTTCAGCAGCAGTTCCAGACTGACACCAGAGAAAAAAACCCAGTGACGGTATGTGAAAGGCATGACTGAGCTGAGGTATGCTGGGAACTGCAGCTTTACATCTAGTTGGCATTTGGTAACGAGAGATCCACCTTGGTCCTGTCAAAACCATTATAAACAAAGGGCTGTTTTGTCATTGTTGTAGTTTCTTATTATAGTTTTTATACTTTTTTTCTCTCACTATTTTGGCAAACAGCACGGCTTTTTTATTGCTAAGCCTCAAAGATCTCTGCAGCTCCTCCAGAGTAACCATTGCTGCCTAACTTAGCTTCTGCCGATATATCTTGACTAAACAGAGCTCCCTGAGGGGTTTTCAGCTTTGTATATTCCAGACATTATTCCAATTTCCCCTGACTTTTTAATCTTCATGATGTTGTTTGTTGTTTAACAAACCTCTAAAGTAAGGTGACCTGAAATTGACTGAAATCTGACATTTCCAGTAAATTTAGACCTAAGCCTGGAAGTCTATACTCATAAATCACAACCATAAAACAGCCAAACAACTTATAACTCTACTTATATTAACTATCTGAAGATATAAACTAAAGGTTAATCAGTTCTAAAAACATCGTTAGATGAACTCTTGTTGATCCCTGGAGAACCGCCGAACCAGATGAGCTCCTTACAAGAATTTTTCAATCATTCTGTTTAATTTTATCTGAGTCTATTTACTCATGCCAGCTGCAGCCAATGGTCTAAACATTTAACACAAAGATCAGCCCGATTCAAATCAAATAAACCGATTAACACACTCACCATAACACAGGGCAGCTAAGACCGGTTCTGATAAAAGTCTGTTTTAAAAGTTCTGCACTCTGCTCCTCATCTATACGTTAATAGCTGCCAGCCAGCTAGCTAATAGCTGTTTCTGTGCGCAGCATGCACACTTTCTACCGTAATAACAGTTTACAAACAACATTTCCACCCCTCATTCATAAAACGGTAAAATCGGGGACATTTCCGGGGACAGTTGGTCCAAAACGAGGCCTGTTCCGGGAAATCTTTAAAAGCCTTTGCAGACCAGACTAATTTATACTGAAATTAAATATCCAACTTCAATAAGCCACCAGCTTTGATTTAAAATCAAAATAAAGGAATGTGAATTCAGCATGAAGTCCAGATTTGATTCTGTAGCTATTTGATGTTTTGTCTCATGCTTCTCCAGCCAGTTTCTACCCTCACATTTCTTTCTTTAGGTGTTTACCTTTTTTTCTTTCATTTCCAAGGATGGTAGTTTAAACTTAACTTTCAAATAGATGTCAACTAACTCTATTGCAACTGTGAGCTCAAACAGAAAGCTGCATCCTTTAAAAGAAAAAACAAACAAACAAGAAATCTTAATTTTCTGATGGTGTGAGATAAAAATCTCCAATAAGCCAACAGGCGAGTGGAAACACCAGGATGTGGTTATGGAGGGACAGAAGTCCCAGGCTCAAATTCAATACAACAAAAAAAACATCACTTTGACATTTAAGTCCCCCAATAACCTAAAACAAGGAGATAATCTGAAGCAAAGCAGATTATTTGCTAACAACGCTTAGAAAAATCCACAGTGAAGAGTTCTTTCTGTGAAGAAGATAAAAACGCTTCTATATCACTGGCTTAAGGAATATCTGGGGACCAGTATTGCCGCAGACATATACAGTAAACACACATGTAATCGCACATTTAAAAGAGAAGCTTTCTTCTTAAATCTTCATGACATTTGATGCAAGATTTAAAATATTCTTGAGAGGATTTTTTTTTTTTCCCTGAGCGGCTCAGATTCCAGAGGTCGCTCAAAACGGATTTATGTCGATCCATAACTGGCAGTCTGACATTACAGATTCACAATCACACAGCATGATATTAAAAAAAGGAGAAAACATGGAACAGATGCCTCTGTTTGGGGATTCTTTTTCTGTAAAGTTTCAGCTAAAACCAAAAAACAAAAACGAAGAAAAAAACAAGCAGTTTTGGTTTAAAGTTTCCATGTTGTTGGAAATCCACCACGGCCAGAAAAGAATGGAAAGTAACAAACACATATAAGGAGCGGAAAAAAAAAAATGTTCTATGACTTGTTTACACATCTGTCAATTTATGTGCTTTAAAGGATTTTCTTTTGGGTAAAATTACCTAAAAAAAAAAAGAAGATAATTTGATGTATTATATTTTCGCCGGTTACTTCAGTGGGTTATTGTAGCAGAAATAAACATGATCAGTACTGAAAGGTTGCATTAGTGCCGCCTTACATCTAGCGAAGCTGCATGTTAAGCTGATTTTTTAATGACTTAATAAAAATCAGCTTTAAGAAATTAAACAACTTAAAAAAACAAGAACACCAGATTGATTTCTGTCCTAAAATACAGATTTTAAGGTTTGTCAGAATCGTGGCTGTTTTCACTGGCTGGTTTTCTGTATCTTCTATTAGTGTTTGGCAGGAACCGGTGTTGGTTGACCTCTACTAACATCAGTTAAAAGGGAAGTCAGGCTTCCTTAGTCTTTTGAAGTGGTCTTTATCAATACTTCTTCAGGCTTTTAAAGATCTTTCAGATTTGTTATTTGATGTGTTTTAGGTGGTGGCAGCATCATGATGTGCAAAGCGGTTTTACTGATCTAATCTAAAGATGGACTGAGCTGAGGAAAGAGCAATTTTAAGGAAACTAGTTACGAGTTATTTTCTTATCAAAAGTATTTTGAGAAAAAGATTAAAACCTTCTGTTATTTCCTTTTTCTAAATTTCAAAAAGCATCCGTTCAAAGAGACTATTGATTTTGTTTTTATTGTAATAAAACAATTTTTATAAAAAAAAAAAAAAGATAAATAAAAAAAAAAAGAATGAATCTCTCAGCTCCTCCTGACTTTCTGATTTCTTTCATCCACTGAAGATGAACTTTAGCCTGATTTCTAATGTCAGTTTTATGTCTTGTTGGAATAAAGACAGATTCAGAAAGAATAAATATACCAAGACAATTCTAAAATATCATAACAATTTTTTTTTTCCAGAGAAAATTGTAAAAAATTATGGGATGGAAAAATCATGGTGTATTATGTCTTGATAAAATGAATAGACTACAGAAAAAAAGACAAAAGCTCTGAAACAATTCTGGTTTTAAGGGTGCAACTATACTTTTTGAAATTCTTAATAATGTCCTGAAAATGTAATTCACTGTTTGAGTTATTACTTAAGAAGGCTACTTTCTATTTTCTTTGTTAAGTTAAAATTTTTTGGGGGTATAAAATTATAAAACATGAAAGTGGTCTCTGTTTTCTTCTCATTTAAGGAACAAACAGGATTAGCTTTAAAACTGAATCACCATTAATTTAGAAGTTTCCATAGTTTTTTTCTTTTTGTTTTGCCTGATCTGCAGTTTAGAGGTTTAAGTTAACAAACACCCCGGGAAAGAAAAACTGATAAAAACAGATTATTTACGTCCAAAGAACCAAAGTAAAGTTTGGGACATTTTAAATTTAAATTGTGTGCTTCTCACCAGCTCATGGAAGGAGTGATTTGGCCAACGCCACCTGGAGGAAGGGAGTAATACCCTGAGAGGTCCTGGGACTGGTGCCTGTGAACACCTGGAGGAAATATAAAAAAAAAAGAACAACCTATTAGACAGCCATTTAGGGGGATATAATGCAGCGTAATGGCAGTAAATGATGTGAAGGATCTCTGAGTGTTCCTATCAGTTCAGATCAGAACCCGGCCTCAGGTCTGAGCTGCTATCAGCACCGCTAACAGCCTGGGAACCTGCCAAGAGTCCCCCAACAAAGGTCACACACTGCTGATCCGTCGCTCTGTGTGTCCCTGTGCATGTAGGGGACCCTCCACTGCATAATCGGGCCTGTGGTGACTGTGCCCACATTGTACAAACACACCCAAACATGTATACAAACATTCAGTCTTCATCTCTACTTATGGCAGAGCTGCTCTCCAACAAAAGAAAACGCAGACTGTGTGACTCTCTGCCCTGGCTCAGTAAACAGCCTGCCTCTCTCCGACCGTCTCCTTCTTTCTTTTTGCCCTTCAAAGGAAGTCATTTGTCAACAGGCAGCACCTAGCACTTAGCGCGGCTGTGCTGCTAACCTGTGTTTGCAGCAGAGGAATGCTGTAGATGACTGTAATTTGGCCACGGCTCCGGGCCTGTCTCAGGACCCCAAGCTGCTATAAATCTGGATGACAGGAATGTGACTGAGTCAGTGGACCTGTCTCACCGCTTCGATCGATCCTCCTCTCCATTCATCCTGACACACCCAGCCCCACTCCCCCGTCCTGTGCTCCCTCGTTTTTTTTTGCCGTGGCCTTCCAATCTTCCAGGATCCAGACTCACCCCTCTTTTACCTTTGACCTCTCCTCCTTCATTACAGACCCCAGCTCATTTGTTCCTCTTTCATCTTCTTCATTATCTACCCCTTACATTAACCTAAGCTTTGCTCTGCCTGACCTTGGTAATATCAAACACTACATATAGGAAAAAGTATTAATTATAGAGGCATCGCTCTGCCAATTCGGGTTGTCTTGACATGAGAAATTGCCCACTTTTTAAAGCTCTGGTAAACCCAAAACTGGGTTGTATGTGTTAAAAAACCTGTTAATACAAGCATGGCATGCCAATTAGATAAGGGTTCCTCCACTTCTAACTTTTTTTTTTATCACATTTTGACTATAAAACATTTCAAAAACCAACAAAATGTTGTACATAATTAAGTAGAGCATAGAAAACTACTATTAGGTAACATCTGTTATTACATAAGGAGCGACGGCAAGAAGAGAGCCACTGTTAAAAGCAGAAAGATGCAAGACCATACATTTGGAACCTGCCAAAAATGTAAGGCATGTGAATGAAGATGCTCTGTTTGCAGTCATGCAAAATCAGCCTGGACACACGATCGTATGGTAGAACATGGTGGTGGTATCACCACTGTGCGAGGTTGTCTTTCCTGTTCCATCCGCGGGACATATGTCGAGCCTCCAAATTTGGCCACTGTCCATCATTAAATTTAATAAGGCAGGATAGACCTTTCTAGGGGTTAAAGCACAACAGCTAAATTAAGTTATGCTATTTCAGGCATTTCAAATTGATATTATGTGATTTTGGTTTGGCCAGTTGACAGGGTTTATAGATAGGCTAATTGCCTTGGATTAGATGCTGTTCTTTCATTTGAAAAAATATGTTTTCATTAAAAAGTATTCATGCATTAGTATGACCTAGTTAAAGTTCCGACTTAAATCAAACTGAGAATTCATGCAGCAGCTGTTAAATCCAGTCTAAAAGATCTCAAACAATTTTTTGTCAACCTATAGATGTTAGAAGCACCCCACACAACCTGTTATTTTTAGTGAATTGTGTTTCGATTAAGGTTTAACTTTTAGGGACTGAACACAAATGTGCACCACACTTATCAGATATTAATCTGTAAAAACATGTAGATATAAAAAAAAAAGGAAATAAAAAAAACCTGTATCCTTTTCTCCATCTCAAAATACACCAGAGAACCAAGTCCCATAGCATGATATTGCCACCACCATGTCTTTATGCATGACGTGTGGAGCTGGTTTAACCTTAGGATGTTTAGTGATGTAAAAATCCCAGTAAATATAACAAGGTCGGTAAGCAATCAAGTTATATAAATCATTTTACAATATTATTGGTAGATTAACACCACAAAACGTTTTATTTTTTTGCTAGCTAAAAATTTGAGATAAAATTGGTAAATGTTTGTTTTATGGAAGATTTGGTCTACTATTGGTCCAATTACTTTAATAAACTATAAACCGCTGCATTGAGGCAAAAACTAGCTGTGTTTCTATTATACTTTCAAGCAGACCTCTTAATATGTCACTCATTATCAGATTGTTTTTTTGTAGCAAACTACATTGGATGTACATAATAAACATAAAAATCTCTTATTCAGAGGATACTCTTTATTGGAAACAAGAAAACGGGTGAGGATTGATGATGGTGCGGCAAAACAGCAAACCCAGAGAGAGACCTACCAACAAGAGCGAAATGGAGGGACTCTTTGATTACATGGTTTCTTTGCAAAGTGCCTCATCATTTAGAATCGCTTTGCATCAACCAAGACAAGAACTACAGTGTTATACAAGACAACTACAAGCCCTCAGTAACCTACAGCCCATATTTGTCGTGGATGTACAGAAATGATGTATCTCTGTACGGAGCAAAAGTGAACATGTTTTTTTAATCTAAAAATTGTAGAGAAACGGTTTTACTAAACGGAAAAGTCTTTGGACTAAATTGTTTACCATGTTTCCAGGTTTTAAAATGTTTTTTTTTTTTTTTTGAAATTTTTTAGTGAAGTTTTCTCCAGCTGTATTGGGTTTTGCTGCTCACTGTAGGTCAGCTGGCTGAAAGAGGCATACAATTAAGTATACACTAATAGATTTATTGTGCTAAAAAAAACAGGACAATCAAGAATTGAGAAACTAAAGTGGCACCATGTAACTCACTGTTGGTTAATTTGTTTTATAACGACAGTTGGCAAGCAGTAGGCAGCATGTCTGTTAAACAGCTCACTGTAGGCTCTAGCAGAACAGACAGCTTGACAGGCAAACCATTTAAAATAAGCTTATCAGACTTGTCAATGATAGGATAGATGATATTGTGATTAAAAGAGTTTAAATTAATATAAAGCATCCTAAATTAAACATCAAGTAGGTGAATCAAGGGCAGTGAAGGTCTATCCAAAATGATAAAAATAGTCATTTCCATCGATGGTTCCCTTAAATCTATAGTTTGACCAGATACCAACATACTAAACGCTTCACTCTTTGAGAACTAAAACATTGCACAACTTTATACTGATACAAAATTATGAATCAATCTATTGTTTAAAATATCTACTTTGAAACTAATTCTAATTATATATTTTTGCATATTTCTATTATAAAATCCAAATATCAATTAATACAGTAATTGTTGTCTTCATAAAATAAATGCCGCATTTTCAGTATATTTTTGCTTTAAATTAATTGGCAAATATCACAATACAAAAGTGATCTTTACTCAAGGTATCAGCTGTGAGAAATTATTGGGCGAAATCAGAACATTAGCAAGCTGGAAAACCTTTGGTAGAGTCTAAGGAACCCCTGGACCTTCACGCATTTAAGGAAAACTAATGCAAAAACAGATAATATTATGATGATAGAAACCAAAACAGTCACTTGAAGAATATTAACAAAACATCCAAAAATTTTCCTTGGCTAAAAATGTTTTACACAATGAGTAAAAGGCTGATGATCTTTCCATAATCAGATCAGATGAACAAAATAGGCTAGATGGAAATTGTCCATAATATTGGTGATGACTGAAAGCTATTGTTCAGTGATATTGAGGTGATGAAATTAGCATCCTTTTTCGAAATCACCCAGATTTGCTATAATGAGTTGCTTGTCAACATCAAAACCGAAATCCCAAGGGGCGAGGTTTTTTTTTTTTGCCGGCTTATCAAAGGCATCTCATGGCTATGGAAACATCAAATCGTTTTCTGTAAGTCACGTTTCTCCATCGTTGTCACCAGCAGCAATGACTGCTGTTGGGAAACCTGAAGGGGGAAATTAGCAGCAGTAATGGGGCAGTTTTTTTGGAATGCCCCTTTTTTAAAGCGGCCATCTAGTACCCAAACGAATGTAACTATCTCACGGCCTCCATGTCAGCGTCTCAGGAACCAGATCAAAGGTGGACCATTTGAGTCAAACCAGCTCGCTATCAGAACGCGTGCTCGTTAAAATGAGTGGAGGAGCTGAAAATAGTATCCCAGTGCCGATAATGTGCTGCGGTGGTTATAACCACTGAGAGTGAAAGCGCTGTAGCTTCTACACCTTTAAATGACTCGTCAATCAGTCTGTGCGGCGCACATAAAAGGGCCCAAGAGCAGAAGAAACTCTATAGTTCTTTCTTACAGTAAGGGTGGGACTTTAGTGTTGAAAAACTTATTTCTACTAAGAGCAAAGAACGAAACTTACAGTAATAATAAAAGTGTTTTACAGTGTAAAGCTACGAGATGCACTTTTCATCTATTTTTTTTCTCATTTCTAAAAGGCTGTTTCACTTCTCACTATTTTTTTTGGCTGAACTGAATCTCACTGTCGGTAGAAAATAGAAAATAGAAACAAAAAGAAAATACATTTAGGAGCCCGATTAAAAGTGTTTTGAAAAGGGTCACGATTTTAGGTTACATACTGTATTCGTAGAGCTTTTTCAGATTATTCGACTCATATTTGGTTTGCATTTCGTTGTTCAGGTTTTTATAAGAAAAAGAAAAACAACAAAATTTCTTATTGTTTGAATCACAAATACAGTGGAATCCGCTTATAGTGCTAACGTTGGTCCAGAGCCAATTTGAACACTATAAGTGGTTGATTACTATATTTGTGACCACTATAAGAGGATTCCACTGTATATCAACCCTTATGTAACTCAGTTATTCATTATGAGTAGAGTGATATGTTTCAAGATACAAATATATTATTATAAAGGTACAATAATAGAACTATTTGGAATTAAACAATGTTATGTTCAGGCCATATTAAGACCCTAACCCTGATTGGACAGCTG